CGATCCACTACGGGTCGCCCCTAACCTTTCGGCCTTTTCCGGAAGAGATCTCGCGAGCCGACTGTCTCCGCGATCGATCTCCCCCGGAAGGGGCCCGACCCCCAAGAAACCCCCGCATAGGGCGCCCTCGAACACTCGCTTGAGGACCCCCGGCCCGAGATGGGGGTACTGCCCCGATCAGACACGCCCGCCCTAGGAGACGGTGGGTACGCCCGTCAGCCCGCTGCGCGATGGCGCGCTGCGGACCCCCGAGCAGCGCGATTTCGCCGGGCTGGGGGTTTCCGCCCATATGGGGCTCCGTAGGGGCCCCTTGGAGCGCCCACTCCTTCATAGAGAGGCGGCAGGCAGACCCGGTCCCGCTGTTGGGCAGCAGCGCGAGATATTCCGGCAACCCAACAGTTTGGTGCCAATTGCCGGAAATGTCCTAAAACCCACCGACGTCGAGAACGAGCCCGAGAAAATTTCAGGCGTTCCCGACAGCGGGGGATGCCCCCCAAACCACAACGACCTATCTCGAGGGGGTCTCCCGACCCCCGGGGAAAAAGACGGCCTCAGACTCTCCAGGGCACCGTCAAGCCGAGCCCGTCGACGCCTACATGAGCGACGCCTGCCGGGGCGAGTAGGGCGGGTGGGGAAATTTTGGGGCCCGCGCGGTGATGGGGTTCGTCGGGTAACGAGTACCCCGACTCCCCGAAGATTAGCACCGCAGGACCCAATCATTAACCAACTTTCCACGGGAGCGCCCAAGGACCGCCCCCTGTGGAACACCACAAAAGCCCCGCGGACCACTCCCCCTTGGCCCCGGGTACAGATGGCCCGGCCCACGAAGTAATCCGCAAGGACGCGCCTGGGGTACCACGGGACATTGTGGTACCTCAGCGCCTCCGCAAGGGTCCCCCAGGGGGGGGTTTTAAAGGGGTTTGGCTATACCAGCGACACGGCCAAAAAACACCTCACCCCCAAGCCCGTTTCGTCGCGCTGCCCGCATCGGGTACTGCGTCGTTTTTGTCGACCCCCGCGACGAAGCCAACGGCCGCGCTCGGGTTGGGGGCCCCGCCCCCCCCGGGTGGCGACGGGGACGTCAGCGACACTCGCTCAAAAGCTTGCACATTCGTCGAGCAGAACGATGGGGAGGGGGCCCGACGGGACTCGGGGGTCGCCCGTGTTTTCTGAGAGCACGAGCTTGCCGGTCTTCCATCGTCCGGACCCTTCCCGAGCCAAGCTTCCGTGAGGGACAGCGCTCCCCCTTAGGCCGGCTGCTGTGGCAATAATTTTCCCAGGGACCCCGCCGGGCCCGGGGGCGCGTTTCCTGGATGAGTGCCAGATGCGGCCCCTAACTCGGCTCGTAAAACGGGAGGTATCCCCCCTTTCGTCTGCGGCCCGGCTTGATGGGCTGCCATCCGCGGCGGGCCCATTTTCCCTCGCGGGGAAGAGGGATCTGACCCCCGGTCCAAAAAGGGGGCTCGAGAGTTTGGTAGGGGAGGCGCCCAAGGCCGGAGTTTTGACTCAAGTTTGTACGGGCCCCCCACGGATCTCGATCCAGGTTTCCGAGACTTTTTCCAAAGCTCGTCTTTGGCGGTTTTGATCGCCGAGCTGAGGCCTCACGGGGGCCGGTTGCGGCATGAAATTCTTTTTCGCGGGCGAGATCTCAAACGGCTGCCTTCGGCTGGGGGTGTATGCCTCGAAAATTTCGTATTGCGTAACTTGCGGTAGCAGCCGGCTAGGGGGGGAGCCCCAGTACACCTGTTTCGACGGGAAGGTCTCCCCCTCTGCATCGCCGCGTCGCAGACGCGAGTCGCGCCGGGAGTCGCTCGCATCTCGCGTCCACGTCCGGGCCCCTTTTCACATTAGCCCACGCTCGCGATACCCGCCTTGGGCTAGCCCCCGGTCCAGCGTTCCTAGCCGCCACCGCGGACCTTCCCCTACCACGGGGCGGTCCAGTGCGCAGAGTCCCGAGGCAGCAGGGACGACGTCGAATGGATGTACGATGGTCCGACAAAAGTCCACCCCCCTATACACGCCAGTTGTGTAGTGAGGGGCCGGGCCAAAACCCGAAAAGAAAGATCGATATGGACCCCCCCGGGCCCCTCACAAAGTGTGGACCGCCCTGGGTTTTTACAGCCCCAAGCCTTGGGAACCCCCCACTCCTCCCCCTTTTTCCCCCCGGTACCCGGTCGCCGGGGGACCCCACCCCCGTGAGTGGCGTTGAAACCCCCGGGCCCACACCGGGGTGGGGTGCACTTCCCCCACCAGAGCCCGACCTCCGTGAGCAACTGTCGAACTGGGCGAGGCTTCTGTAGGCGGACAGTACACCCAACTACTGCAGCGCCGCCCAACGCGAGAGCCATCCTCGGCCCCCCCGCACTTGTCGAAGGGAGGGGCCCTTTTGCTGGGGGAGATGCCACCGGCCGTGGTCGGGCCCAATTGGGCCGTCGCGAACGTATACGGCTCGGCGATACTGCACTGTCGTCTGCCCCGGCCAGGATTGGGCCAGAAGGTCCGAGCCGTGACGCAAATGGTGACGTTGGCCGCAGTATGGAATTTGAGCCATTAAAATTTGGGCGGTGTCCCTTACCTCCTCATTTTTTCTGCAGGGGGGCGATTGTGGGGTTTGCCCCCCTGAGCTTCTTGCGGCCCCCCTTGCGGGGGGCCGCCTTGCAGTCGGCCGTCCCAAGCCGGTGGCCGGACGCTGACCCTCCGCCGAAAACGGGGCAGCTGGGGTCCGCTGAGAGGTGGCCCACTTGTGCCGGCCTGCCCGACCGGAAGCGAGCGCACTGGGGTCTGTGGCCACAGTGCACCTGGCCCCACGTGCCCCGGGTCGAGGCAGCGGAAGCACCCCACGGCCTGGGCTCCCGGGTGGTCAGCTGACCACTGACCACCCCACACGATTTCGACGGCCATCAGTCAGCTTTCTGGCCCCCTCAACAGGGCACCGCACCGGCAGTGCCCTGGGCCAGTGGGGACTATTCGGCCGTTATGCTCGGCAGAGCAGCCCCCCTCGCTGCCAGCGACGCCCCCCCGTCTTTTAGAGGCCCGGCGCTCAGGCCAGAGAGCCATTCCCCGCATCCTCGGCTACGATCGGACCCTCCTCGGCACCCCCCGACCCCGCAGCCCCTGGCCCGGGTTTCTGGGTCTACGGGCCCGCCACCCCCAGGATCCCACCTCCGGTTCGGCCCCCGGGCGGGGGGGAGGCCGTCGACCCAGAGCCTTGAGGGTTTTTGACCTCTCGGGTTTGGACAGACCTGCCCGTGGTCACGCCCTGGGCCGCGGCGCCCGGCTGCAGCGGAGTGTGATCCTGCAGTTTGGGGTGCGCAGTTTGCGGGGCCCCCGGGCCCACGTTTTCTTCTGGTGGGCCGCTTGATGGCAGCGGTCGGAGCGCCGACCGGACTGGGGGCCGGTTTTAGGCGCCTTTGGCTTGGCCGCCCTTTGGCCTAGCCGCCACTTCGTCCAGTCCCCTTTCGGGGGCGGGGCGGGGGCCAGCGAGGAAGCCGACGGGGGCGACTGCCCGACTGTCGGGCGCCTCCGCCTCCCTTTGCCGCACAGTTTCTTTACCGTTTTTTCCTCTTCTTTTTCTGCTCCCCCGATGGCCCGGGGGGGCACGCCCATTCCTCCCGGGCCCCTTTGGGATTGGAGGAAAAGAGGGGGAGAGGCCCGGGGAGACGCCCGAGGCACGGGCTCAGGGCCGCGGCGGATGGGCCGCCCCTTTTTCCTGTCCGTGTAGGGCGGAGGATGCGGGTCCGGGGAGAGGCGGTCAGCGACCCGCGAGTCGCGCGTCGATGAGAAAGCCTATTAAACGCGGCTCACGCGGGCGGAGCAGCCCCCTGCTGCCCTTAGGCCCTCATTTCGGCCCCTACTGCAGCCAACTCGGCCTCATGGGCCCACCTCCTCCGATCCGTGCGGGACATGAGCGCGCGAGTTCTCCCAAAATGGAGTTGCACGCGTTTTGAGGGCCCCAGTATTGGGGCCCTTTAGATTGGAGTTTTTTGGGGGAGGTTTGAACCATCGTACCGCCGCTCAAAGGGGCCCGAAGCTGTCCGCAATGAGGGATTGGGGGGAGGATCAAATCCCCCTTTGGGGTGCGGGCTGGACTGGGGGGTGGAAAACGAGCCCTCTGCGCGCTGTGAAACTCCCCCCAACTCCTTCAGGGGAGCTCGAGTTCCCGCTCCCTTTGGGGCCGGGGGGCCCAAAGGGGGGGGGGGGGGGGGGGGGGGGGGGGGGGGGGGGGGGGGGGGGGGGGGGGGGGGGGGGGGGGGGGGGGGGGGAAGGGGGGGGGGGAAAAAGGGGGGGGGGGGGGGGGGGGGGGGGGGGGGGGGGGGGGGGGGGGGAAAAAGAAAAGGGGGGGGGGGGGGGGGGAAAAAAAGGGGGGGGGGGGGGGGGGGGGGGGGGGGGGGGGGGGGGGGGGGGGTGGGGGGGGGGGGAAAAAGGGGGGGGGGGGGGGGGGGGGCAGCCCCGGGGTTAAAGGGGCCCCTTTTGGGGGGCACCCAGGGGCCCCCGGGGGAAGGCGGGAACCCCCCCTCCAGGGCCGGGTTCCTTTTGGGTGGGGAGCAAACCCCAGGGTGGGTTTATGTCCGAACACCCTTTAAAAAACCCCCCCCCCCCCCAAACCGCAAAGGGGGGGGAAGCCCCCCAATTTTTTTTTTTTTTTTTTTTTTTCCCAAATTTTCCCGATGGTTTTGGGGGGGGGGGGGGGGGGGGGGGACGCGTTCTTGAGGTCCCGAGTATTGGCCTTCAGGATTGGAGTTGGTGGCGAGGTTGAACCATCGTACCGCCGCCATAGGAGCCCGAGAGCTGTCCGATGAGGGAGATTGGGAGGATGCAATCCGCTGGGGTGCGGACTGGACTGGGGCAGTGGAACAGGCCTCTGCGCGCTGTGAGCTCCCGCAAGCTCTCTCAGGGGAGCTCGAGTTCCGCTCTTGGCCGCTTTTCAGCTGGGCCCCTTGGGCCCCTCGCCAAAATTTGGGACGTATTCCCCCGTTTTCGGGGGAGGGCCCCCGACTCTCTTAGGGCTTTCGCGGCGCGAATCGCCCTCGCTTGGCGAATCCAACTCTGTAGCAGAGTTGGTTCGCTTGCGCCAGAATCTTCCCCTTGCTGGGGAAGACGAGCGCGAACCTCCAGGAGTGCTGGTAGCGTCCATCCGCTCCAGCACCACCACCGGCACCACCTTTTCTGAGAGAGACAGGAGACCTTGCGGTCTCCGTCTCCATCTCCTTCTCCACTCCTACTACGTCAAAAGTTTTGGTTTTTGGTTTAAGTGAATCTCCAAAAACATATCCCACGAGTAGAGACGAAAAAAATTACACTTCCCGGGGGGACGCTCATTCCGGGAAGCGGGGGAAATACTATGGAGGTCCCCCGGTATCCATAGTTTTAACGACTTAGCTTTTGGGTCTTAAAGTCTTTTCCTTGACACAGGCCGGCCAAGGAAGGAAAGCCCCACGTCCTCCGAGGGTCACGGCGTTCCTGATGTGGCTAGCACTCAGGTTGTATGTCGATCACCCGGAGATTACGCGACGCAGGAGAGAAGCCAACTCTCCCAACTCCGACGGGGCACGAGTGCCTGCCCGCCCTGCGCGAGCGTGGGTCGACCCGTCCCTAAATCCCTAAGGGATTAAAACGTTTCCTCCCAGTAACATACAGAGCTCTGTGACAGGGGACAGTGTCTATTAACCGTTGTCCAGGGTGCACCAGTCCCTCGCTTCCACTCCCGAGGACCGCAGTCCAACGGGGGAAGAAACGAAGAAGCCAACATGGAGGTTACCCGACCGCACCCCAGGTTAGGTTAGGTTTTTTTTTTTTTTTTTTTTTTTTTTTTTTTTTTTTTTTTTTTTTCGCCTTTCCCCGATCAAGGTTACATCAGGACCTTATACATCTAGATGTCTTACATACTAATCTATATCTATCTAGTCCACACTATTATGTAGAGTGGGACTTATTCCATTTCGCGCTTGTAATGGCTTACAGTTTTTAAGTACTTGGTTTGTTTTACTACTATACTTTAATTTTACATTTTTGTTGTTATATTTGTTATTCTATCTATCTATTTATACCTTACATTTTCCTGTTCTTAATTCTATTTCTAGTTTCTAGTTGATATATACTTATGTTTATGATCTAATTTGTAACAGCTAAAGCGTTATTATTCAACGTTATTAATTTTTTATCTATTTATATCTATCTATTTTACCTATTATATTTTTATATCCATTTTACATTCTCCTTTTTCTTAATTCTATTTTTATATCTATAGCTCTTACCTCGGTATATATGAACTTTATCTATGATAATTTATAATATTTTTATATTTCTTTTTGCTTACTTTTATTTGTGTCAGTTCTTTACACATTTATAAGTACTGTTTTTTTTTTTTTTTTTTTTTTTTTTTTTTTTTTTTTTTTTTTTTTTTTTTTTTTTTTTTTTTTTTTTTTTTTTTTTTTTTTTTTTTTTTTTTTTTTCTTTTTTTTTCTCAGTTCTTTATTTTTCTCAGTTCTTTACGCTATTGTATGTTGTTAGTGGTTGTATATGTCGTGTCTGTACATCTTCTATATTTTTATAAACAATTTGGCCTAGGCAATAAAATATATACATTTAATTTATATATTTATTGACTGTTTCTTATGCTAGTTTTATTTTATACTTCTTTTTCTTGTTCTGAGTAGCTGTTTTATGTTTTGCATGTTGTGTTTTGTATAAGTGTCTATGTTTTGATATATTCGTGTATTCATTATACAGTCTGTATATCAATGTGTTTGTGTTGTCGTGTGTTTAAAGTTTGCGTGCGTCGTGTTCTGTTTGTGTGTAACTGTGCTGATATAGTCGTGTATATTTAATATACATTCTGTAAATCGGTTTGTGTTCGTGTTGTCGTGTGCTTCGTGTTTGTGTATGTCATTTTTGTGTTTTTGTGTGTTTTTGTAGCCGTGTGTACGTGTTGTGTAATGTCCTATTAGTGTATGTGTTTTAGGCGTAAGCCGTGTTTGCGCGAGCCAGGTAGTCCCATTTTTTCCGCACAGGACATTCGACGCTGAAAGCGTTGTGGTCGGTCTTCCGCAGCCCAGAGTGTGAACAGTTGCAGCACTGCGGTTCGTTACCCGCGATAAGCTCTGTGCATTTTTCGCGCAGATGGGGTCCCCCACAGTGACTGCACCTGTCCACACTCTCGGTGCAAAATTTCCGACCGTGACCAAACGCTAGGCACCGCGTGCATTGGATGACCGGAGACTGGTCCTCCACCCTGACCCTTTGAAGGTCAAGATACAGGGCTCCAGCCTCCGTCATTCTCCGCCATACGTTTGGCCGCACTTGGAGTATGACGTGTTTCGCGTTCGGGTTTTTAGTGCGTTTCTTATATTTTATGCTTATTTCAGCGTCTTGTTCAGGAAGGCCCATGAAGATCTCCCTATTTTGGGCGTGAAGTGCCTTTAGCAAATCCTCATCTTCACCGTCCACGTAAACGTCCTTCAAAATTATCAGAGGATTTTTGTTCTTCATGGGCGCCACCTGTAGTCCTTCTCCGCGACTCTCTATCCTTTCTTTTAATCTTTCCATCTGTTCTACTGTGTCGCAGCCTAGGATAACAGTCTGGTTTTTTGCCTTTCTAGCTTTGTTTATTTTGAGGCCTGTATTTCTAGCATCGACCGCCCTTTTCACCCTGGCGAGCACCTCGTCCGCGGTCTCCTGACCACCCTCGGAGGTGACCGCCATCGAGTGAAGTGCTGGGCGGTATGCGGGTTTGGCTGCTGCGACGCTGGCGTAGGATTTTGGCGCCTGGACTGGAACTGGGGCTAAATTTACACTCATCAGTCCTTTCGTGACCTCGAGGATCTCCTTCCTTTCTTTTTTGGCTACATCGACATCCTCGGCAATATCGACGGCCAGCCTTTTAAGGAGGCCGAACGTGCGCTCACCGACCTCCTCAGTCTTTCGCTCCACGGCCGCCTTAGTCTCCCCAAGCTTGTCGTCGATCCTGCCGCGCAAGTCGGAGCCTCGGACGTCGGCACTAACGTCGAGTCCTTGGAGATCTGTCTGGATGGTTTGTTCCATCTCGTTGATTCGCTGCGTCAGCGCCGCCTCCATCTCTCCCAGCCTTTTTAGGACGTCCTCATGCCCATCGGACAACGCTGTCCTTGAGGGCGCCCCTGCTGCTTGGCCTTCGGCTTCTAGCCTCTGTATTCGGCTGCTGAGCTCGAAGGCTACCTTTATCCCTTTATCGGCTCTCTCCTCCAGGAACTGTTTTATGTCTCTCCTCATCTGAGGGTATTCGAGGATTTTCGATGGTATTTCCTCGAACATATTCATCAGCCCCTGGAGGAGCTGATCACTCGACATAGCAGTATAGATGTGTTGCTGCTTCTTGTATGCCTCCATGTTGTCAAGCGATCTCCGTTTAACTTTTGGCCTTTTGATAAAGGTTTTAGCAGCGTCCTGCGCTGCTGCGGTTGCGGTGGTAGGACTGGGAGTGACGGGCGTAGTAGCAGGTCTCCTGGCCGTACTAGAGGTCGCGGGTGTGCGGTGCATACTCATTGTGGTATGTGTGTGTGTGTGTCTCGGGGAAAGTTGTCAATTAGTATAGTGTATTTTAGACCCTGTAAAGGGGGGTCTGTGTCGTGTATAGGTAAAATAAGGTATATAACAAATTTAAAATTAAAAATTGTCAATAAATACGGTCAATATAATGGACAAGCACAACAAAAGCTATAGTCTGTCAGAAGACGTTCTATATTAGAAAAAAGATAAAATAAAAAATAAAAATAAAAAGTAGGGTGGGGGCGAAGTGTGCCCTGTCTTAAATCTACTTATTACTATATTAAAGTAGCAAACGCTACTTTCTGTTCTATATAGTCTTAACAATATAGTTCCTGCTCAGCAGGATTGTCGAACACAAAAAAGTAAATAAAATTAAATTAAATTAAGAAAAACTAAAATAATAAGGAGCTGGCAGAGCCAGTCTACTGGGCGTCCCGAGCCGGTTCAGATGAACCCAAACTCGGGGGGTCCAGGTGCCCTGGGGGCAAGGTTAAAAGGAGGGAAGGTAATGTAGGGAGGGAGGGGAAAACTGCCGGAGCCAATCGATTGTGTTCCCCGAGCCGATTAAAAAGAGCCCAAACTCGGGGAGCCCAGGAGCCCCAGGGACAGAGTTAGGGGGAGGGGGGGTGAGGTAAAAAAGTGGAGGGGAGAGGGGGAGTGGGTTTCGTGGGGTGGCGTTTGGTGTGGTCGGCGTAAACTGCCGCGGCCAATGTGTTTGTGACCCCCTGGCGGTTCAATTGAGCCTAAACACGGGGGTCTGAGTGCCCCAGGTACGAGGTAAGGAAAAGGGGGGTGAGGTAAGGTGAGGGGGGAAGCTACTGGGATACCGGGCTGGTTCAAACAAACCCAAACTCGGGGGGTCCAGGTGCTCTGGGTACAAGTTGGAAAGGAGGGGGGGTGAGGTAAGGGGTGAGGGGGGGTACAGACGCGGCCAGTCAGCTGGCTCCCCGAGTGATTCAGACGAGCCCAAACTCGGGGGGTCCAGGTGCCCTAGGGACAAGGTTAGTGAAGGGGGGGTGAGGTAGGGGGCGGGGTAGGGAGTGGCGAGGATTTGCCCGGTCCGTATATATACTTATTCTAACTAATACTTAAAATTTAAAAAAAAGTGTGGTGCTCTTTTGTCTCAGCGTCCGGGGAAACGAACCCCCTTACGGACGAAGCCTACAAATAAATATTTTATTTATATTCAAATTGGAGTGAAGCTACTTCGTCCTTTTATTTTGCACGATTTGCTAGTGAGGTGGAGAAGCAGTACCCCAAGAACAAAAGCTATCCCCGGAACGGCTCCCAACTGGAGTCGCCCCAGTGGTGGCAACGGGGTAGGTTCCCCTTGCAGGGCGGCTCTCGACCCTCACCTGATGTGCAGGGGTCACCAGCGCCGAGGGAAAATTTCCCAAAAACTTTTATTTTTACGTAAATTTAAACCAGAACCGACCCCTCCCAAAAATTGGTTTGAGGGCCGAAATTCTGGTCCCAAACGGCGGATGTCGCCTAAAAAGTAATTCCCAGGTCGCTAGCGCTGACCTAGGGCCACTGGCCCGGGTGCTATGGGCCCCCAAAGTTTTTTAATTTTAAAAAATTTTCCCGGGAATCCAGAAAATTTTGCACGAAGATTTTGATAGGCTTATATCTTCGTTATTTGTTATTCGATTTTATCGGGTGGGGTGTCTATGTTCGGCAACTTAATAGCTATGAAGCACACAACCCATGTTTACGCACAGGGGTAGTTTTTCACCCCCAAAAAGCGTTTTTTGTGGGAACTTTCAAAGTTTTTTCATGTATAAAAGTTTTACCAGTTTTCGGTCTATAATTTTTGAACCAACTTTACTCCGGTTTTCGTCCTTGAAAACCTTGTCGTGCTTTCCGTCCCGCCCCAGAAAATGCACAACACAAGTGTTCCCCCGGGACCGGGATCAGGGACCTCGTGCCCGCGGGGGTTCTCACGGGCTCCCGGAAAAAGTGTAATAACTTTGCCGGAGTTACCGGAAAAATCTGAGAGGGGGCTCAAAAGATGGGCCTCCCGAGCCGCACCCTCCCCCCAGGATAAAAAACGGGGGGGTCACCTATAAAAATCTGGCTGGCGGTTTTCCCCGGCATGGGGCGACGCAGCCCCCGGGCCCTCACTGCAGTCATTGGGT